ATTCGGCCACTCAGTTGCTGCCGTTCCGTGTCCAGGGGCGCGAGTTGGAGGGCCCCCAGGTCCTTCGAACCCCCAGTTCTCAACTATCCGCCGACCACGGCTTGCAGGTGGTGAGAAGGCGTGTGTCGCTGACGCCATGCACCAGCAATGGCGCGAGTCAAGTCAGAAAGCCTGCTCGCCCCCCTCCTCGTTCTCCTCCTCCTCCTCCTCCTCCTCCTCCTCCTCCTCCTCCTCCTCCTCCTCCTCGCCCTCCTCGCCCTCCTCTCTCCTCGCTTGTCCCTCCCCCTCCCTCCCGCAGTATTTGGCTGTCCCCCTCCCCCTCTTCTTGTCTGGCCGCTTGGGGAGCACAGGCAGGGGGGGGGGGGAGGCCCCCGACGCAGGCTGTGGGAGCCTGCGGGCGGTGCACGAGGGTCTGTCTGCTGGAGCGCGCGCCCCGCCTCGCCCGCCGTGGGCCCCGCGAGGTGGGCGGCCCGGGAGGGCAGCGGCAGCAGGAGGGCAGGGGAGGGAATCTGCAGGCCCCAACTTTGTACACCACCACCACCTCCAGTCCCCCTGGCCCCCTCCACCCTCATTTTCCTCGCCTCTCTCCTGGGAGAGGGAGGGGATGAGGGAGGTGGTGGCGGTGTCTACCTTTGGGCCCCGTAGAATCCGCCGCCCCTGTCGGCGTGCGTGGGGAGTCTGTCTGGTCCCGTCGACGGGACGCCTTTTCTATTTATCCTTCCCCGTCGGGAGGGACAGAGCACTCTCCCGTCGTCGGGGGAAGGAGTCCGGGATTGAGGGGAATCGACCCACGTCGTAGTCACGTCAAAAAGAAGCCCCTTCCCTATATCCCTTTCCCGGCGGGGAGGGGGGGTGTCCGGGGGGGGGGTCAGATTCGCATCGCTCCCTCTCCCACGGCGGTCCTCCTCCGGTCCTCTTCCCCAGGGGGGGGGTCCCAGGAGGGAGTCCTTTTCCTGCTCCTTCTCCTCCTCCTCCTCCTCCTCCTCCTCCTCCTCCTCCTCCTCCTCCTCCTCCTCCTCCTCCTCCTCCTCCTCCTCCTCCTCATGATCGTCATCTCCTCCTCCTCCTCCTCCTCCTCCTCCTCATGATCATCATCTCCGCCTCCTCCTCCTCCTCCTTCTCCTCCTTCTCCTCCTCCTCCCCCTCCTGGTCGTCGTCGATGCCTTTCAGGGTCGGCGGCACCGGCCGTCAGGACTTCACAATCTAGAGAGGCGCGCTCTACAACTCGCAAGGGAACTGCTCGCAAATGGCCTGCATCCGCCGCGGGGGGATCTACGATCCGGAACATCCATGGCAAGCCATGCTTTCTGTTTTTGTCGGACGGTCGCGAGTAGGCCCTTTGCGAGTAGCGGAGCGCGCCCGGTGAGGAACGACACCCGGGGACCAGGACGAACCTGGGGCCGGGGGAGGAGGAGGAGGAGGAGGAGGAGGAGGAGGAGGAGGCGGAGGAGGAGGAGAAGAAGGAGGAGGGCGAGCGACAGGGGACGGCCGCAGAGAGGAGGAAAGAAGGAGGGCGAAGGGAGCCCGGGCGACCGCTCCTCTTGGGGCCTCTGGAGCCTCCAAGGCTACACTCCGTGGCCTCCGAGATGCCCAAGATGCCCTCCAGGCTGGCTCAAGCTGGGCTCCGACACGCCGAGGAGAGCTCCCAAACAACCAAGAAGGCCTCAAGACAGCTCGTGTGGCCTCGAGGGCACCCCAAAAACGCTCTGAGAGGGCCCCCAAGAGGGCCCCAACATGGCCCCAGGAGGCGAACGTCGTCTTTTTGGTCTCCACACCGTCCAACACGCGGCAAGAGGCCTCCTCTCTCCAAGACGGCCCAGGAAGCCCCCAAGATGGCCTACGAGGAGCCCCCACAAGAGAGGCCCAAGAAGGGTAACTCGAATTGATTGTTCTAGTGTTCCGTCCCAGGGGGGCCCTAAGACCGCCAGCAGGCGGCCAAGAACACCCCCCAAGAGGCCCCAAGAGGCCCATAAGAGGCCCCAAAAAGGTGCCAAAACGGTCCCCGGAAGACAACAAACAGCCTCACTCGTGGATGTCTTCCCTCTTCTGCGTTGGCCGCCAGGAGGCGCCACATGAAAAACAAAAAAAGATCACAAAAGAACAACATTTAGGTCGGGCATGTCCTCCTACAGGCGCATATTGGACGAAAAATGCAAATCGTCAGAAAATACTCCAAATGGTTTAAAAATAGTCGGAAAAACGTCCACATACTGTTTTTTACAATAAGTTTGAATACTCCTCCTGTAGAGGGACAGGCCCGACTTAAAACAACACACCGTCAGCAGTCCTTGAGGCGAGGCTCGGAGAGAGGGCGAGGAGATGAGAGGAAAAGAGGAATCAGCCGTTCTGGGCTCATCGTAACTACTCCTCCTCATCCTCCTCCTCCTTCTCCTGCTCGTCCTCCTCCTCGTCTACTTGGTATTATGCCTCCACCTCTTAAGTCCTCCCCCTCCCCCTACTCCTGCCGACTGATATTCCACCTACCCGTCGCACGTGCCATCATTATGCTATTCCCTTCCTCCTCCTCCTCCTCCTCATCCTCCTCCTTCTCCTCCTCCTCCTCCTCCTCCTCCTCCTCCTGCTCCTCTTCCTCCTCATCCTCCTGCTCATGTTCCTCTCCTACCATCCCAATTGCGGAGATGGTTTCTTAATGGAAGAGCGAGGCGCCTCGCCTGTACCTTAATCTGAATGTGTCGAATTTCGCTGATTGGCTGCCTCCCTCCTAAACATATAACAGTCCAACATGGCTGAGACCCGCGTCGTCATGAGGGTACAACATTGTCGACCACAACTCGCCCTAGCAATTCCAATGGGCTCCTCACTCCATCTGGGGGTTGGTGGAATGGCGTAAGCCTCTTGAGTAAAGGATGCCAGCTATGATAAGAGGAGGGGGTGGAGGAGGACGGGGGGATGAGAGGGTGGAACAAAGGAAGAGAGGACGAATCGCTCCCAGCAGGACGGCACGTTCCATCCGTCTGCGGCGGGCTGGGCGGGTGTGCTTGCCGCGCGTCTGTCTGGCTCACGTCAGGTTCACCATGGGGCGTCCGTCTGCAGTCCATGGTTCCAGATACTTGGCTGAAGGAGGACGATGGAGAGCGGTCGGCTCAGGGGGAGGGGAACATCGAGCTGCGATCGACCACACATCGCCGATAGATCGGCGAGAGCCCACCGGTGGCGAAAACCCCACGCTCCTGGGCGGGGCAGGCGATCAAGCCCCCAATAGCTACAGCCCACCCGGCCCCTGTCGTTGCCCCGATGGGTGCCCGATGAGCGGGCTGTGCTCCAGGATCGGCTCGGTGCTCCAGGGGCCGGCTCTGGCGCAGCGGAGCAGAGGCACGGCGAGGACCGGCGCAGAAGAGGCACGGGCAGGAGCGCGGTCTGAGGAACCCATGGCCCAAGAGAGCCCCGCCAAGAGTGCGACGGAAACGGGGCTGTGCCGTTCTACACGCGGAGCTCCACAAGGGAAACGCTCCTCCTCCTCCTCCTCCTCCTCCTCCTCCTCCTCCTCCTCCTCCTCCTCCTCCTCCTCCTCCTCCTCCTCCTCCTCCTCCTCGTACGGTCGGACCTAGGACAGAAGAACTTCCCTCAAGAACATGAGACCCTCCGCCGGCCAACCTGAAGAACATTCGAGGGTAACCTCCCCCGGGATGCACGAGGACATCCAACACACACGGTGAACAGTAGGGTCCCATCCCCGTACGGACCTCGGTCCGACCGAACTCCTCTCAGCCTTCCAGCCTTTCACCGTGGCCCCGCGACACGAAGCCCGCAGCAGAGAAAGAGCGCCGAGCGCGCACGGCGGGTCGAAAATTGGGCAAGCACAGCTCCTCACCTCATTTTTGATGGGGATGCTGCGGCCGACGTGCTTCTTCGTGCTGGGGTCAATCCCTCTCTTTAAGAAGGCGTAGGGATCGAGCCGTCTCCTTGTTCTGGGGGACTTCCAGGCGCGCTTCTGACAATTGCAAGACCTTGGCTCGACCAAGACACCCGCGCGATCATAGATGCTCGAATTCTGGAAGATGTTCCTCCTCCTCCTCCTCCTCCTCCTCCTCCTCCTCCTCCTCCTCCTCCTCCTCCTTGTCATCCTCCAACTCCTCCTCCAACTCCTGACCCTCCTGCTCCTCACCATTCTTGCTATCACCGATGACAGCTATTGCAGGCACGGGCGACGGAAGTCGTCGCACAGCGATGAAACGCCCCGTATCCGCGAGGGGCATCAGCGAAGATGCGCCCCGCAGCCGCGGGGTCCAAGGGGCCCGCCCCGGCCCGCGAGGCGGCGGATACGGCTGTGCGTTGTCGCACGCGAAAGCCTGCAGCATCCGCGTGCTGGCGCAGTGACCCTGGAGCCTGGAGGCGGCCAGGGGGTCTGTGAAGGGGCCCTGGGACACACAAATAAATAGACACAAATAACAGGATTACCCATATTCCCCATATTTTCTGGGATTTTGTCTTCCCCCCCACTTCCTCCCGTAATTTCCTGGGGATCGACGACTAATTGTGTCGGCGTGTTTTCTCCCCTCCTGAAACTGGCTGAGGCCCCAGAAAGTCGGTTCCCAGACCCCCCTCGGGGACCATCTGGTGCAGCTGTTTCACTGCGGATCCATTTTTCACGGCACTGGGGCCCGAAAACGGCCCCCGAAAAGGGCAGTAAAAACCTTCCAGGAGCCAGAGCCTCGAATCTGCCCGTCCCTCCCCCTGGCCAAAACCAGTGCGGGGCCAATTCAGACCCCAGACGGCCCCAACCTGGATTGGCTGCGAGCGAGGGGGGGAAGTGAGAAGGGGGCAGGCCTTCTCAGAAGGCGGCGGGGCTTAGCCCTCGCGCCATCTGAAAACTTTTCGGCGTCTTCGGGAAAGGCTCAGACAACTTCTCAGAAGTCCGGGGGACTTCCGAGCCTTCTGCGAAAGCCCCGCCCCTTCTGACTTCCCCCCTCGCTCGCCACCGACTGGAGCCCCTCGTGGGTGGTCGACGGCGTCCTCGCGCAGCGGGCTGCGGAGCCGCCTCAGCCGGAGCACTCCTCGACCGCAGGAGGGTCAGCCACCGCGCGCGCCGCCCTACACTCCCGGCAGTCGCTGCTGCAGAGGCCGCAGAGGTGCTCGGACGACGCGCCCTCGCTGCCGGGCTGCGCCCTCATTGAGCAGAGACCGACCGACCTGGCATTCCTACAGTCGGACTTCATTGGACAGGACACGCGAGAGGACAAAAGACCCTTCCGAGGGCCACATTGCCATAGGAATGCAGGAGGCATGGGTCGCGAGACACAGGACACAAAGGTACCCTTGATTTGGCAAGGGTCGACCTACTAACCCGGGCCGACTGTATAGGCCTACCACGGAAAGTCGTTAGAGCAAAAGAACGTTCTCAGAGCACGAGCCATGTTTTTTTTATAGCCCATAAGAGCGGATGGGCTAAAAGAAAACCGCCTCGGCCAGAAAGGTTCTAAGAACAGCTCGTGCACATTGCAAAAAGGTATTTGGAACATTCTGTGGTGGGCCTCTAAGCGAGTCAGGACGCTTCGCCACTGCTTGACCCCCAGGAACCGCTCCCTGACGAGGGCCCGCCGCTGCGCGATGCACCTGCGGCGGCTGTGGACAACATCCACGCCCGCTTCGTGAGCGGCCGTGCCCTTCGCGCTGGAGACTCCGGCGAGGGGCCCGCCGCACGTCTCGGCCAGGACGCCTCCCACGACCCAGGAGAACTCGGAGAGGGGCACGCTCTTGCCGTTACAGCTCGCCGCGGTGGACCCGCTGCCAAAGCGGCGGCCATCGAGCTGCCTTCTGGCCGGCCAAGAGCGACACGAGGGAGCTGCCGTGTCCGCCTCCGAGAAGGCCGTGCTCAGGTCGGCCATCGCCGGGCGCCGTGAGGATTCTGGCGCGGGGAGCCGAGCGACACTGCCGGTCTAAATGCGTCGGCCTTTGGGCTCAGCGGCTACGGGCAGCATCCGGCTGGCCGTCGGGGCCGCCCCCGCCGCGAGGTGCACGGGGTGCGCACTGGAGGAGGCGGAGGAGGGGCAGGAGTGAACGTCACCCGAGGAGCCCCAATCTCGCCTTGTGTTCACACATTCACGGGGCCCTGTCTGTCCCATCGCGTCGCCACCGCGTCGAAACCGCGTCGAGGACACGTCGAACCCGCGTCGGACACAGGAGAAGGTCCGCCACCGTACCCTCTGGCACGTTGACGCGAGGAAGAATGCCAAGGTCTGTCTGGTAGGGCTTTGGGATTCTACTGCTTGACCGCCCCTCCCTCTACCAGCAGAGTGTTGCGTGCATCCCCCCTACTAACCGAAGTCACTCACCTCGTGCCCGCTCGAGGAAGGTGCACTTCCCGCATGGCAGCTGATGCCTAATCTCTCATTCCGCGCGTGCCCGCTCGAGGATGGTGCACTAGCCGCATGGCAGCTAATGCCTGAACCACCATTCCACGCGTGCCCGCTCGAGGATGGTGCACTTCCCACATGGCAGCTAATGCCAGAACCCTCATTTAACGCGCGCCCACTAGGAGATTGTGCACTTCCCGCATGGCAGCTCACTTCTAGGCCCCTCATCACACGAGCACCCGCTCGAGGATCGTGCACTTCCCGCATTCCCAGGCGTTGCTCCCAAGCGCTCTAGGGCCTCCCAAGCAACGATCCCTAACACGATGGATATGGTCCTGAGCTTCCAAGGAGGCCCGCGCAGGCAACCAAGGACACCAAGATAGCCCAAAATGCCTCAAAGATGGCCCAAGATGCCTCCAAGAGGGCTACAAATGGCCACATGAAGAACTCCAACAGGATCCGAACCCTAGGATTGTTGAATGACTTTCGCATTATCGCCTTATCGTGCTACCGTCAGCTCAAGACGGCTCAGGAGGACTCCATCGTGGCCCGAGAGGCATCCAAGACGGCCCCAAGAGGGGCCAAGAGGACGGCCCGTGGGACCCAAGACGACCTTAGAAAGCAATTCGACGGCCCAAGACGGCGCCAAGACGGCCCCGCGACGGCCCCCAGACACCCGCCATACGTCCACGAGTGCCCCAACACGGCCCAACAGAGCCCTAAGCCAGCGTAAAAGGGCCCTCTGGACGGCCGAAGAGGGCCCCAAGGAACCTCCAAGACTGCTTCACAGGAAGGAAGCCGAGACGGCCCCAAGACGGCCCAAACGAATTCCACCACCACCACCACCACCACCACCATCATCATCATCATCATCATCATCATCATCATCATCATCATCATCATCATCATCATCATCATCATCAGCAACAGCAGCAGCAGCAGGAGCATCAGCATCATCATCAACACAATGATCAGAATCGTCACCATCATCATCATCATCATCATCATCATCATCATCATCATCATCATCAGCAGCAGCATCGTCATCATCATCATCATCATCAGCATCGTCGTCATCATCAGCATCAGCATCAGCATCAGCATCAGCATCAGCATCAGCATTATCATCATCATCATCATCATCATCATCATCATCATCGTCATCAGCAGCATCATCATCATGAGCAGCAGCAGCACCATCATCAGCATCATCATCATCATCATCAGCGTCAGCATCCGCATCATCATCATCATCATCAGCAGCAGCATCATCAGCATCATCATAGTCATCATGTTCATCATCGTAATCAGCAGCATCAGCATCATCAGCATAATCAGCAGCATCATCCGCATCATCATCAGCATCATCAGCAGCAGCATCAGCATCATCATCAGCATCATCATCGTCAGCATCAGCATCACCATTATCAACATCAGCATCATCATCACCATCAACATCACCATCACCATCATCATCAGCATCATCATTATCAGTATCAACATCAGCACCATCATCATCAGCGGCAGCAGCAGCATCGTCATCATTGCCCTCATCGTATCCATCCGTCTCCTCCTCCACCTGCTCCTCATCATCATCATCGTCATCATCAGCATCATCATCATCATCATCATCGGCATCACCACAATCACAATCAACAACAACAAAGGCATCGTCAACGTCATCGTCACGGTCGTCGTCGCCGTCGCCATCAGTATTATCATCATCATCAGCATCATCATCGTCATCGTCGTCATCATCAGCATCATAAGCGTCGCCGTCGACGTGGCCAACGTCACCACCACTATCAATTCTTGTTCCTTATGAACAACTTCTACCTGACGCACCCCGAGGCATGTTTTTAGGGTGGGCTGGGCGTCTCGCCTCAGACTTCCTCACCACTCATGACCCTGAAGCCTTAAACGTGAGAACAGCTTCACGGATTGCGGGCGGGTGGTTTTCAACATGTGGCGCTCGCCTTAGCGTCGCGCACACTCGTTTCAAACCTGTGCAAGAGTTTCACGGATTGAACGCGGGTCGTTTTCAAAATGTGGCTCTCACCTTAGCGCCGCGCACATTCGTTCTAAACCGTTGCAAGAGCTTCACGGATTGAACGCGGGTCTTTTTTTTCATGTGGTTCTCGCCTTAGCGCCACGCACATTCATTCTAAAACGTTGCAAGAGTATCACGGATTGAGGGCGGCTCCTAATCAAAATGTGGCTCCCGCCTTAGCGCCGCGCACTGTCGTTGGGGGAAAAGTTTCGCGGATTCTCATGATCAACGTAACAGAAACAGCGTTTTGGAAAGATTGGGGATTATGAGGGTGTCACAGTTACGTTGGTTCGCGGTGTTGAAGTCCCAGGAATGGCGTTCTTGCACGGTTCAGGATCGCCAAGACACAACAGGCTGCTTGATCCGTGGCGTTGGAGTCCCGAGAATGATGTGCTGACATGCTCCAGGGTCTTCCAACGGTGTGCTCCAACGAGGCAATTCCTTCAGTGGAAATGAACCGTTGTAGGGACCTATGAAGAGGGAGATTGGAGGGAGTGTGTATGCTAACATCGTTGATGACTCTTGGGTTCACACTAGAAATCCTCCTTCTCCTCCTCTTCCTCCTCCTCCTCATCTTCATCAACAGCACCATCATTATCATCGTCATCGTCATCGCCCACATCAGCATCATAGTCCTCATCACGGCGATCGCAAACCTTGAAGCACAAGGTGGCACACGTGACGGCTTTCCGCGCCCCCTCGAACAGTCGCCACGTAGAAAGCTGGGCTGGCACGTTGGCGGGACTTGCCGCAGGCAGCTGGATAGCATCTCGTGACCTGACATACAAAATCCCCCGAAGATGCAACGCAACCCGCCTACACCTCGCGCAATCGCTGAACAGCGAGAGCACGGAAGCGTGCAGCGACATTGTCAATTGCGGGGGCGTACCGTGGTGGAAGAGTGGACCTCCCCGTTGCGGCATGCTAGATGACGAAGACCAGCGAGAGCGCGCAGACGACAACATGTCCGACCGACTGCTGAAACTGGTGCCCCATACCCCTGAGACCCAAGCGCACTGAAACATCCCCGCTGGGAGGGCGCTGAGGATCAGCAGCCAACTCGAAAAGCAGATCACAAACTACACGACGTTGGATACAGCCGATCCCGCTGTGGAAACCCAAAACAAATTTCGGAGGCAGCCATCACAAGCAAACCAGGCCCCCCAAAGGCTTGATGCGTTCACCACCACACTGCAGATTCCGCAAGCAATGCGTGTACGGGACTATTATTTCCTTTCCGGGCGTAAGTGGTTTAACGAATTTGGCTTTCTCTCTGCCAAAGTCCCCTCCTTCCCCTGCTCGGGGGAGGGATTGATCATTGTTCCCTATGAATAAACACCCTCTTTCCCCACCCGGCAAGCAGCTAACTCGGAACAATACACACACCATAAAAGGCCCCCCCACACCATCCCTGTCAAAAAACAATACGACATGCACACTGCGGGGCCCACTCTGCCAACACTCTCCACAATCCCTTTACCAAAAAAAAAAAAAAAAACGGCATGCACATTGCAGCAAAATCTGGACAGTGCGCTGGCGCCTTGTTAGCACGTCGTATTGTTTTCTAATAGGGATGGCGGGGCACCCTTAATGAAGCCGCTCTGTAAAGGACCACCATCAGTGTCAAAACCATGCAAAGCGCATGTTGCGACAACGTCATGGGTATTGTGCTGGCCAACCGCGGTTACTTTGTATTGTTGTTTGACAGGGACGGCGGCGGTGCCCGCATGATGATGTTTGCTGCGCGCATGCCCAACACAATGCTGACACCCCCCACACCAGCATCTGGACCATGCGGACGGGGGGGCATCAAGTTTTTTGTTTAGCAAGGATGGCACACCAACCGCATGTGCAGCCCGCGGCGAGCGTCGCGCAGCTGGCGCCCGCTTTGGTTCCCAGCGGCTACGCCGAGACTCGGATGCCATTTATGTGGGAGGGCGGGCGGGAGTGAGCTAGACACCTTGCATGCGGAGAGGGTGTCTTGACCACTCCCCGTACCCCCTCCCCTGGGCCCGGAAGGGGCACCCCGCGAATGGTTAGAGCGTCCAAGATGGCCGAAAATGACCCCAAGAGGGCCTCTGGGAGCGCAAAATGGCCTCCAAGATGGCTCAAGATACCTCGAGATGGTTCAAGATAGCCCCCGACACGCATATATGATGCCTCAACACAACCCCAAGACAGTTTCAAGTGCAACCCGAACCCTCCTAAGACCCCCATAGAGTGCGTCATAGCATTTCCGGCACCGGGAGGCTCGGCGGCGCTGGCAGCCCAGCCCTGAATGTGCCAAGGGTCCGTTGAACGTGCGTCGTTGCTGTTGTCGCTGGTCATGCCAGCGAAGCCTCCGAACGATGGCGGCGCACGAAGAGCGCTGGCTATGCTGTTTGGTGCATACTCCACGATATGACCCACGCGCCTGAGCGTACTCGTGAGACTGTTGAACTCGGCCTCCGTGGCTGGGTTGCCGTAAGGCTGGATCAGCGAT